AGCTTCTCTGCATTCAAGATCAAGTTTCAGAGTCTCTTCTGACATCCATGTTGATATTTGCTTTCTTTCCTGTCTGCACATGACCCTTTGCTTTCTGCATTTGTTCTGGTCTCTCTTGTTGTCGTCCCACAACTCACCTGGTGTTCGGTCATTAATATTCAATGTTTCAAATCTACTCCTGAGATGGTCTCTAAGTTCAAGTGGGATGTACTCAAGGTCATACCTTGACTCTCATAGATTTCTTTGCATGTTCTTCAGCTTTGATTTGAACTTAGATGTTGGCAATTCCACTGTCAGCCCTGGCCTTTTTCCAAGTGATAATTGAACTTATTCATTGCCTCTTTCCACAGATGTAGTCAATGTGACCTGCTTGTCTCATCTGGAAATGTGGGATACAGAAAGGTTTTTCCACAGGTTGTCCCCCCCCCCCATGTTATATGCCAAACTTAAGACACTGCTTGCTAATACATGGTCAATGCCCATACACTTGGAGGCCAACTGCTTATAGGTTATTCTCCCTGAGGGTTATCAGCCATCTAGAGTAATCAAACTCTATAGTCTGTCCCACCCTAAGTAGGGCCTACTCTTTTCTGAGAAGGATAGTGTATTATTTCCCGGAAGGAGAACCCAAAGACAAGGTCAAGGCAACTCAAGGACCACCAAGGTTCGGCTTCCATCTTGAATCTACTGTCCGCCCATGTGTACCCCTAGCACCTCCCCTTCCTGTCTCACATCTGCCTATTGTACAGCCCCTTCCTATTACGCCTGTGGTTACCTGCAATTAGGGGGGCTTGCACTCCCCCTAAGTATATATAAGGTGTGATTAGAAATATCTTCTCTCTGCCCGGACCTTGATGCTGAGATCATGGCTGTCTGGGATGAGCAAATGCATGCCTTACCTTGTCTGATGTCTCTTTAATTTTACCCCTCAATTACACAACCGCCCCTTGTGTTGCTGAAAAAAGATATTTGCGATGAGTCAGTCATTCATCTTGCAAAAGTCTGTCAGGCCATCTCCAGCCTGTTTTTGTCACCAAGGCCATACTTCCCAGTCACCAATCCTCCCTTTTGGCTTCCAACTCTCTAATTCCAATCACCAGTGTTATCAGTGCATCTCGATTGCATGTTTGAGCCATTTCACTTGAGAGGCTCTAATTATGTGCCTAAAGTAATAAGGGACTATTACCCCAGCTGAACCTCAATGAGTCAGCTTTGGGGTGCCTACCCACTCCATCCACAACGTCTATCAGAGAGTCAGAAAATGGTCTACTGCCAAATGCCCCTTGCTGGGTCAGAAACCTATGTAGGCAACCACAGACGTTCAGAATGGAGCTGGGTTTTATATATATAATCGGAAGAATGATGCTTGCTTCAAATCCAAGAGCATTTTCCTGGCTTTCTCTCTGCCTCTTGAAGTTCTAACCATTCTCTCTGGCCACAGTCACTTGTGTATCTATTTTTCCCAACAAGCTCTGATGTTCTGGAAAATAGGGCCTTTGTCCCTTCTGCTCCATGCATGCCTTCCCGTAGGGCATCCTTAGCATCACGCATGACAAACGGGAGCCCATCACTCACTGCTGATGCATACAGGAGCCGCGCAGCTGGCGACTCCCCAGAGGCCTCTTGTATGGAATTAGGTCCTCCTCTCCTCCTCCCCACCCTCAAGCAGCACCCCCACCTCCAAATAGGGGTGTCCTTTCATTGTGTTAATGAGGCAGTGCCAGCGTGTGGTAGATCTTAAACCTAATCATTTTTTGAGGTTCAAAACGAGTAGAATAGACCCAGAGATATAGCCAAGGAGAAAAAGAAGACTTAATAGGCATAGACTCATCTTCATACCAGCAAAGCACAAGGAATCCATTGACGGTGGTCTTTGCCTTGGTTCTTTGGAAAAACTTGGAAGAGTTTTCCCCTTAAACCCTAAGGAGTTATGACCTTTCTCCTAGTTTTTGGCAAAAGCAACTGGACAGACCCTCCCAGCATTCTTTTTACCCTAAAGCAGGGGTGCTCAGTACGCCGACCGCGATCTACTAGTCGGTCCCAAATGTAGTGTGAGTAGATCTCATGGCATTAAAAAAACAGAATATAAGCCTATCATCAATCCCATCACTTAAATGATACACAGCACAGCCAATCAGATGCAGTCTTAGGTGTCAAATGCATGCGCAAACAACTGCGCTAAGTGCAGCAAAACTGACAAGCTAAGTTATTGCCAATTTTTAGACCTTGGTTTTTTTTTCTTAAATGTAAGAAAGGGTATTCAAATGAGTGGGGGCCTGGCCCAGTAAGAAGACAAAAACGTATCACTTTCACACAGAATGGGAGATTTTGACACTACAAGCCGACATTCAGCGGAAGTCCAGAGTCATGAACAGTTCTGAACTTACTCGCAGAGGAAAAGTACTCAAACATGAGAAAATGTGCTACCTCCTTGACTGCATGATTCAGCTCTACTTATTGATGTGAGTCGGCCTTTTCCCACATAAAGATCATTACGCCCAAGTACCGTTCCACCACGACTGATGATCATTTGGAAGTGTGCTTGAGGCCGGCTGTCAGCAGCTACTGTCTGGACTATGCATCTCTGGCTCATTCCATTCAGTGCAAGTCATCAGAGTAAACTCAGGTAATGACAAAAAATGTACATAGTTCATTGTGATGTGTTGTGCAAGATGGACTCATGCATTTATGCAAGGTATTATTGTACATATAAAGAATTCTCAATGCATTTATGAATAAATGTAATAAATAAATACAAATAAATATATGTTTTGCATTTTTGTAGCTGGTAGATCATTCTGACTTGATCATTTTATAAGTAGCTCGCATGCTGAAAAAGTATGAGCACCCCTGCCCTAAAGGGTTTGTTACTCTTGCCTGTGGTGGGTGTCTGTGGACAGACGATGTCATTTCGGTACAAAATCTGCATGTGTCCTTGAGGATTGGGTGAACTCTAGGCTGGTGAAGAAGGCCTGCCTTGGAACTGATGAAGAGTAGGCTATTACAACAGCACACGCATGTACCCAGGAATGGCACGGATTGCCAGGCCAAAGAGGACCTCCTTCTAGAACCAGGGGAGAAAATAACTGTGTGGTCGCCCACTTGGATTGCCTGTGACAGCAGCACAACTGGATAACCAAGACAAGGAGGTTAGCCTGCTCACCACAAGATCAGCAGTTTGAACCCACCAGATGCTCCACAGGAGGAAGATGAGGCTTCCTGCTCCTGTAGAGTGACAGTCTCAGAAACCCACAGGGGCAGTTCTACCCTGGCCTGTAGAGTCCTGAGGAGTGAGAATGAACTCAATGGCAGTGAGCGAGATCACCAAGACTCTCTCCAAACGTCTCTCCAAAGAGCCTGCTTCCACACTTGGCCCCCCACTCCTACAAGGATTCATTTGGAGTCCATGGACTCCTCGCTGGAGGAAATAATGAGAAAGGGGAAATAATTCATAAAGAAGAAAGAAAGATCATGGGCAGAGAGCTCACCTGGGAATTGGTGGAAGAGGCTCAAGTGGAATAAATGTATCAAATTTCTTTTCATAAGGCACTCTGAAAAACAACCGTGAAATCAGTATGGCTTCTATGACAAGGAGATCCACATGTCACTCTTATGACAACTCTGCTATTAATCTTCATGTATGGGCCCCAAAATGGGAACAGCTGCAACATTTACTATGTTTGATCATTTTTAGTAAACATCATTAAATCAGACAGGAGTGGTTTTTTTAATTAATATTTTCAAATATAATATGTCAATTATTTTTCTTTTCATTTAATGAGTCTTATGCTCCATACTTTGGTCTACATTTATTCTCAGTTTAAGCCAACCCAAGTAGGTATTCTTAATCAGCCATCTGTTTCAGTAAGCTCATAAAAAGTGTTCAGATTTGTGATTACAACAATAACAACATTAGCAATCGTTTCAAAATAATAGTCCAGATCCTGGGTTTGATTTCAATTACAAACATGGATGCATATATACATTAACTAAGTGGCTCTGAAAATTTTAAACATTTTCACCCAATCTTGGCCTGTTGAGACCCATTAAAAAAAAAATTTCTAGGTAGCAGAGAGATATGCAATTCCTTTAAAGTTAGCTAAGTAACCCTGGTATTAGCATGCACTTACATTGAAAATTTCACTGATGGAAGAGTTGACCCCACTTTGTGGAAATCTTTACTTTGCTCTGGGTACATATATGGCTTATCCCCTGGAGTTAACTTTGGAATCCCATTCCTGGGATCAATACCTGTGAAAGATGTTTGAAAATGAAATCACAGGAAGGACTGGAGAGGGCCTAGAGATTTACTCTGAGTATTGACATACCAATTCAATATAGATGCAGTGATTTAGCATTTTATTATGAAGTCCACAGGTGTCTCAAAGTTCTGTTTATCGTTATCTCACCTTGAGGAGATGAAGCTAGAAATGGGAGCCTATGTTTGAGACACCTTCTTTTTTTAAGTGATGAGGCTTCAACTAAGTCCACATAGAAACAGCAAACTGCCCTCTGTGATCCTAATGCTGCAAACAATATACCGTCCTCCAAATCTGGAGTAGGGAATGGTATCAGAACTTAAATTATAAACACCCAGTCTGCAGAGGGCTATCAATGACAGTGGATGCCCAAATTCCATTTGCAGGGTCCACAGAGTGATTAAGCATCCAGCGAATTCCCTCTGACCATAGGCAAAGGATGTGAGTAGCCTTGTTAGCAGACAGAAAGCATTGCATGACAATTATAGTAGACAGAGTTAGGTTAAAATGCAATCTCTTATTTGATCTCCCTTTAGACCCATTTGAAAGTGGTCTCCGTTTTTTTAAAAAAGGGAAAGGGAAATACACATGACTGAGGCCCTGGCGAATCCCCTCTAGCCGTAGACCAGCAAAGTGAATACACTTGCTGTCATGCAAAGTGCATTGGAAAGTGGACTAGCTACTTGTTAGATTAAAGTTTAACACCTTATCCTTTGATCTCTCCCTTTTGACCCATTTTAAAGTTGTTCTAGCGTTTAATATTTTCTTTTTGATTGAAGTTTTTCCTCTTATTTTGTTATTGTTGTTTGCTTTTTGTTTCTTGTTCTTGTATGTTTTTCAATATATGAAATCCGGAATGGGTTATATAGAAACAGTAGCCGGATTCATGGTTTCTTGCAGGTACTGCAGGGGAGGTCGGGGAGAGATGAGGAGCTAATAGCAACGAGTACAAGGAAAAAAAGAAAATGTTTTAAAATAGAATGTTTAAAGAATCGATTTAAAATTTGTTTTTAAAACGTTAAAAAGAAAACGTTTAAAAATGTGGTACTAACTGCACAGCTCTTCTATATGATTGCTTGTGTTTGAGTGGAAACAAGAGCCCACGGGTGTGGGGTGAAGCGCAAGCACGCTTGTCACGTGTTGATCGACGCAGCAAAGGATGGACACGCAGAGTGTCCTTGTGCTGCTCCTCTCTCTACTTTAAAGGTACGTGTTTACCTACTATTCATCCTTTCATAGGGAGCTCGTACAGAAAGCTAGCGATCCATCATGCAATTAGGTCAAGCATAATTGGACAGTTGCTGCCACAATCCGATTCCAAACATTGTCTTTCTTCTTGAACTCCTTGATATCAGCTCCCCTTTATCCCCTCCCCCCCGCACCCTACCCCTCAGGAGCCCTTATTGTTCTTTTCACACATTATTATTACCGTATCTAACCCCGTCCAGGAAATCCATTCACCCACAATTCTGTTGGTTGCTCCCCTCGAACGGGGTTATACAATCATCCTTGCTATCAGCTCCTCCTCCCCTCCCCACCCCACCTCCCCCACCACTCTCATTCCATATCCCTAGGGAGACAGTACGACCCTTACTGTTTCTGAAGGGTTATCTATCTCTACTTTGATCCATGTTTGAAATGTTCCTTAATAAAAAAACTTTTCATTTCTAATAAAAGCAGCATCGATGACTACTGGCCTGAGGGAAGGAAAACTGTTGGCTTCAGGAAGGGCAACATTGAGGCTCTAGATATACAGGTCACACTCATTCATAGCAGCTGCCTCGGAAGAAGTCTAGCCAGGCTGCTCCTTAGACTGAGCATGGCAAGACTTTACCATGCTATCAGACGTGACCAGGCCCGGGGAAAGGACAGCATGCGTGCTTGGTACAGTAGAGAGAGTCCGTGGAAAAGAGAAAGACCGTCCCTGGGATGGACTGACAGGATGGTTACAACAGTGGGCTCAAAGATAACGACAATTGTGGAGGGTGGCCCAGGACTGGGCGGTACTTCATTCCCCGGTGCATGGGGTCAATCACATCTAACGGCAACAACTTTTTAACAGTAAAGTCGGATTTGTTATTTCCAGCTTAGAGATGAGAGACCCGAACCTTCGCCGAGTCAGATCGCTTCCCCAGGGCACATGTCTGAGTAAGTGGAGGCACAGGAAGATGAAGGGGTCATTGACCTTGGTCTTGCTTTAATCTCATCTTTGCCCTCTATGTACATAAAGCCCCCACCTGCCCCCTTCCTCTATGTCTGCTCCCTTTTTCAAATGTCTTTCGTTTTCAAATGGCCCTTTCTGGTGTTCATAGTCATGGTGCATTGTTAGATCACCCAGTTCTCAAATAAAGTCAGAAATATTTCATAAATATGAGAATACGTGAAAAAGCATTCCTCCTAGACTCCCGGTTCCTACATGGGTTAATACTAAGCAGAGCCTAGATGTAGCCCCTTATTGGTTTGCCTTGGTCAGTTCAGAATCCCCAAGGAAAGAAATTTCCCTCCTTCTACTCTCTGAGTGCACACGTCCCCATGGGCCAGCTCGACATGGCGTAAGCATTAACCAGTTGCCATCGAGTTCAGGCTGACTCATGGGGACCCCGTGTGTGTCAGAAGAGATGTGCTCTGTGCTTTCCAATGGCTGGTTTTTCGTACATGAATCCTTTGCATTTTCTTTTGAGATGCCTCTGGGTGGGCTGAATCTTCAAGCTTTTATCAGCCTTGACCAGCCAAGCAGGCTAAGATTTGCACCAACCAGAGACTGCTGAAGACAGGAGTGGATATGCAACCCACCCCCCAGGGGAACGAATGACAGAAGTGTGGGTGCAGGGAGCAACGGACAGTGTAAGACACGAAATAACAATCATGTAATTGATTAAGGATTCACGAGGATGGGTAGTTGGAGGAGGAAGGGGGCGGGGGGAGAAGAGTTGCTACCAAGGGCTCAAGTAGAAAGAAAATGTTTTGGAAATGTTGATGGCAACATATGTACTAGTGTGCTTAATACAACTGAATGATGGATTGTTATGAGATTTGTTTAAGAGCGCCCCCCCCCCAATAAAATGAATTCTTTTTAAGACATGAGTGGAGCGTTTTGTGTCCTGGATCACTCTCTGCACGCTGCTCTCTGCGGCCCCTTGTCTCTGCCAGTCTCTTAAGAGTCGGCAGAAGGTAAGAGCTGTGCTCGTCTCTTGATGTTGGCAAAACGTGTCTTCTCTTCTGCTCCTCGGGAAACTACCCCCTCCTTGATGCATCAAGTGAGACCTAAGTTTATGCACATCCCTGGCTTGAGGGTCCACTGTGGTCTCCCCTCACTCGGGCTGCACGTCCCTGGGAGCCCTCTGGCTTGCTCTTTCTCCATTTCTCTCCGTCCTCACTTCCTCTTCTCAGAGTGGGAAGGCAGCCGCTCCTCTGTGTCTCCAGCGGTGCGTGCGTGTGTGAGACCCTGACCCTGAGCTCCCACGGTGCTTCTACTCCGTCACGCTAGATGCCTCGTCCTTTGGGAAGCAGAGGTCTTCCCCCAGCCGCACTGTGGCAGAAGTCCCTCCACACTCACCCCGCCCCCCATCGCATCATATCACCCACTAGATTTCACCTCAAGAACTGGGTGGCATGCAGGGTCCTCCCCCAAAATCCCAACATCAGCGACTCTCCTTTGAGCTCATCTGGTCTCTGTGTGTAGTCGCTACCCAAACAAAAGCCCTGGTTTTCAAAATGATTGCTCGATGCTTTGCGTTTAAAAGTCTGTTTCTGAAACTCCGAATGGAGAAGCTCTGTTTCTTTGTCTTTGTCTTGGTGCTGAAGCACTCCTGTTCCCTGGTGAAGCAATGACTGCCTCCTACACTGGTAATTCTGCAGAGCAGGGTGCCATATCCGGGCCTTTCCTATGCAGCCCCTCTTAGGATCTCTCCATAAATCTCATAGGGGTAGTTTGGAGCAAAGAACTTGCCAACCCATCCAGGTATCAACCCAGGAGAATATATATATATATAACTAACCTTTGTATGGCTGTGGAATAACATGCATGCCCTCCAGGCAGAGGTGCACAGAATGTTTTCCTTGCGTAAAATATCAAATACCCTTTCAACGTGCAGTACCGACAGCAGCTACTTGAAATAAAAATCATTTTCTTTGGACTTCAATGAAGATTTCTATTAATAAGTATCTGAGACAACTTCTCTGATGACTTAAATGTCACATTAGCATTTTATGAAATTCAAAGAAAAACAGAAAATGTGGATCAGCATATGCTACGAATTGTCTGCCAAAACGTCTAGCCTGCTGACTGTTCCCTCCGCTTTACAAGCTGCCTGGGTGCACGAGGGTCACAAAGGGAGCCAGGAGCCCCCACCCCCACCCCCAGTCAGACTCAGGGACCGGCAGGTCCTGCTGAATCCTGACGGAACAGGACTGTGGAGCATCACACAGGCAGAGGCCAGGAGGAACCCGTTACCGTATTTCTTCCTCCCGAGGCACTTGTCCACCATCGTCTCCGACTGGGACCTCCTGTTGCCAAGGAAGACCCCATTAAAGCAGCACTGCTTTCCAACGTGGTAGGTGTGGATGCTACTGCTAAACCGTGGGTAAAACGTCCACTCGGGACGCTGTCCATCTCCTGCAAAACAGAAGTCCTTCCATGAGCACTGCTCCCATGGTGCGCATTCCCCACATGCTCCCTGGCTGCACCCTGGCTCTCCCTCGGGAGCAGCAGCGGGACCCTCTGGGACTAGGTATGAAAGGCTGTGACCAGGGAAGTGAGCGGAAAGGCCACCTCTGAGGTCTCCTGCTTTTCCTTTTCATCCTCTCCTCCAAACGGAAGGCCAAGGTTATGACTGGAAGTCGAGCACGGGTTAGGAAGTTCAGAGAGCTTGGCAAGCTCATATGCTCCAACCTGCACTCTGGTCGCTCTGTCGAAAGAATACGGATGGACATCCACCGGGAAATGGCTGGGCCAACTATGGCCCTTCATTGAATGGAACATGCTGTTGGCAGCAACGGTAGCACACTCTCGTATGATGGGGACACCGGGGAAGGTATACAAGCCATTATGTCCAATGAGAAAAGCAGCCTTTGGACTTCAGATGAGTTATAGGACCTCTCCGTGTCTGTTTCTTCATTAGGTAGTTTTAGTAGAAAATCGCTAAAGGTTATTTATTATAAGGAACAAAAGATCCCCCAATGGCTCTAAGGCTGTTGGAGATGAGGAGTACTGGGGCTCTTTGATTTGGGCTCTAACCCTATCTACCCTCCTTTCTAGTCGTGTGGCCTTGTATGAGTGAGTAAACCCCACCAGGACTCGGCTTCCTTTCCTGTAACATGGGTAGGTCTGTGTTATCCATACGTTGACCTAAAAAGAGGTCCACAATCTATTTGCTTTTGAGTGAAAAATAGCTGGTATGGTACAATTCATTTGTTGCTTATATATATGTGAGCATATGTATATGTATAAATACATATTTCATAATTCTGGAAGTATATCTTTCCAAGTCTTCATCGCTATAGGGTAGAATGATGACATGATTGGAGAGGTCACAGGGGAAAGTGTTTCTACATTCTCCTTTACATACTTTATCATTTTAATATCCTGTGATAATACTTATGGTTTCCATGCAAGGGCATTTTGTTTTTGAAATATGTAAAGTGATCACAAAAAGTGAAATTTTTTAAAAGAAAAAGTACAAAGTAAGTCAGTTTCCCGACCTCAGAAAGTACTGGACAGTCACAATAGGCCTGGTACTGATACAATAACTATACTTAGGTTAAGGGAGCTGAATTAAGAGCCCAGAAGGAAGCCCGTCCAGCCAATCTTGACAAATCTAATCTTTGACAATGAGCCAAAGTCCACTCCATATGGGAAAAGCAGTCTCTCGCACACATGGTATTGGCAAGACTACTCGTTTGCAGAAAAATTAAACAGGATCCATATTTCACACCATGATAAAAGACTAACTCAAAATAGATGGAAGACCTCAAAGTTAAACTCAAAACTGCGCCGTAAAGTTCCTGGAGGGTAACACAGGGACACGCTAGAGGTCCTAATCCATGGCCAAAGGCACGGCCAAACATAGCCAAAAATGCACACACAGCAGCCGCAGCAGAAGATCAACCAGACAACTGGGTCCTCCTAAAAATCAAATACCTGTGCTCATCAAAACACTTTACCTAAAGAATAAAAAGTGGACCTACAGACGGGGCTGGGGTGGGGGAAACACTGGCGCTGACATCTGCAATAACGGTCTAATCTCTCAAACATCTTTTCAAAACGTAAAGGCCCCGACAACAGAAAGGACAAACAACCGCATCCAAAACGGGGCAAAGAACATGAGCAGACATGTCACCGAAGAAGACATCCAGGACGTGAACGAGCTTCGTGGAGAGCGGCTGGGATCACGCGCCGTGAGCCAGACGCACAGCGGAACGACGAGCTGGCCTCTCACCCTTACGAAAGTGGCACACGCACAGACGGAAACCTACGAATGCTGCCGAGCTTGCAGGGAGAGAGACCTTTCCTACCCTGCCGGTGAGGTTACAAAATGGTACAACCACCAAAGCAGGTAGAACAGCACTTTGTCAACGTGCTGGACACAGAGATACCGTATGATGGGCCACCTCGCGCCTCGGTCCCCATCGCTGAGGAAGATGCGCTCTGGCACCAAGCGATCCACGCTGCACCCCTGTTTACTGCAGCA